AGCAAAATAAACCTTCACCGCTTTCATGACGGTCTTGCCGGTGCCGCCCCCGCGGGTCAGGCACATGAGCAATGACGCGATGTACTTGTTGTCCCTCAGGTCTTTGTAGTGGTTCAGCAACTGGCTGCAGATGATTTGGAACGCCCGCATCTGCTTTTTGTTCAATCGGTGATGGCTCACCCACTGAACAGAGAAGATCCTGTCGTCGACCGTCTCAGGCGGCTTGAATGCGGACGCCGGCTGCGCCAGCAATCGAGTGAGGTCGGCCGCATTCATCGAGTGACCACCGTGTGTGAAGATATTCGAAGAGAAGCTACTCAGAAGGCTTACTTCATCTGACGTGCCGCGGCTGTGCCCGATTTTACTTAGCTTGTTGCGTTGCTGGTGCAGGTCATCGTTGGGCTGATCCTGGCGGCTCCCATTTGAATGACAAGCCGATTGACAGTCATCGAAGGCAGTCTTCAACAGCCCCTTCAACAGGCACATCCAATTGTATCCAGCGATGCATTGATATACTTCGCGAAGTGCGTCTTGAACACGGGCACAGCGGCGCGGCAATTGGGGGGGGCGCTTGTGTTCTTGGTGGAGCCACTTTGAGTACCTGCATGTCATCGCCACGTCTGCCTTCAAGATCTGCATGTCTCTCGCCATTGTTGTCTGCATGTTTTTGAAACTCTCGCGGTGTGCTTCTCGCAAACACTCGTGCTGTGCACCTCTCTGTGACGCATAATTAAACCACCGCTTCGGACGCTGCTTTCGACCCCCGCCCAATTCGCGGCCCGGGGTGCCCACGCAGTGGGTGCCCCTTACTCGGAATCTCTACCCCGTCCGGCGTTCGCTTTATTTCGCGAAGCTTGCGCGAATCTGGCACAGATGAACGGAGGGGGTGAGGCATCTGGAGGCGGCGAAGCCAGCAGCCACCGCACTGTCCTGGATGCAATCCACCAGATGGAGCACAAAGTTCTCACTGCCATCCAGCAACTCGAGGTAAGACAGGCCCGGAACAGGCAGGCAGGCAGGCAGGCAGTCAGGCAGGCAGGCAGGGACCAGCTAATGCACACAGCATTCCGCCTGTGCATGTGTGTGTGTGTGTGTGTGTGTGTGCAGGAGCGTCTATCGCGCCTCGAGAGTAGCGTGACGTCTGCGGCTGTGTCAGGTGCCAACCCGTCCGCTGCTCTGTCGGACAGCACTTCCAAGCCACCTGCCCGCTCCAGGGGTGATTTGGTAGTGCCGCCCGCCCCTCGGCCAGTTACTGGCCGCACCGCTGGCACCCCCGGTGTGCAGGATGGGGCGCCGCGTGCCCCTTCGGCCATCGACACCACGGCGCGGCTCATGGAGGAGGACCGACGACGGGCGGAAGAGGTGCGGTGCGCCTGGCTGGGCAGACGACACAGACAGACAAACAGACAGACAGAGAGTGCGGGAGGCAGGGAAACGACAGGCATGCACACGACAGAAATTCTCCCTCCCTCCCTCCCTCCCTCCCTCCCTCCGTCCCTGCCTTCAGGCCAAGTTGCGTGAGGAGCAGGCGCGGAAGCACAGGGAGATGGAGGAGGCCCGGAAGCGACAGGAGCAGGAACAGAAACAACGGTGGGTGACCATGAACCGACCGAATCAACACACACACACACACACACACACGCACACTGTGCACCGGTGGATACCGCCCTGCCTTTGTTCATGTCCATCCATCTATGAGCATCTGTACTCATACTTGCTGCACTGCAGTGAGGAGGAGGAGAAGGCCAAGAAGCGTGCACTGCTCGACGAGAAACGGAAAGCCCTCCTCGGTGAGCAGCTCTTCGCACACAATGAGTGTTTCTTTGGTGGATGGATGGATGTTTGTTTGGCAGGCACCCTGGTGCAGGATGGTCCGACGAATAGCAAGGTGGGCGGAGCGGGGCTGTTTGACTGACTAGCGCAGCTGACAAATGACAGCAAAGGGCAGGCGGAAACAGAACGTGTAGCAGGCAATGCATCGTAGCTGCATCGAGTAGGGCGGGCAAAGCGGCGATGGCCATCCAGAGCCAGTCAGCCAGTCTCATGAATCAAAGCAGTGAGTGCATGGCAAGCTTCATGTATGAGGCATATGTGTGTACATGTCCTGTGTCTGTTCATGGGACCATGACATTTCCTCGTGTCTGCGTGGCGCGTGTGGGGGACCAGCTCAATTTTTGTGTTTGTGTGCAAGGAGTAGTCAATCGCTTCCTTCCTCCACTTTACAGCTCGCAATCCTCCAGGGGAATTTCGTCGATATGATGTCGAGGCTCCTGGGCAAGAGGCCCTCTGTGTGTGGCATTGCGTCTGCCTTTTGCTGCCAGCCCGGCGTTGGGCGGTGCGCCCCCCCGCTCTTTTCCAGCAGCGTCCGTCGCCTGCACACAACGCCACCCGCACGCGGCACCGAGGTGGGTGGTGGGTGGGCCATGCGGGAAGGACAATACACAACCAGTGTGCCACCCCCGCACACAACACACCCCTCGCTGAATACAGCTGTTTGGCTGATGAATTTGTGTGTGTGCAGGTCTACCATGCTGGTGCGCAGACAGACAATAAATCAGACGAGGCCACTCACTGATGTCATCCATGGATGCTATGACGCCTCACGGGGCTCGGGCTGCCACGCACAGAAGTACACATCCAGTTGCTGTGGTGTGATGTGGTGTGTGTGTTGTGTGCGTCAGGTTTGATAACGACCGAGTTCACAACGTCTCTGAACATCAGCAAGCAGTCGCAGGTGATTCCGATTTTCCGTGTGCTCAACTACGATGGTGAGTTGGATGCGGGATGGGAGCTGCCGTTCAGCAAGGAGGAGATGCTGGACAAGTACAAGTTCATGGTTCGCCTGTCGGTCTGGGACGACATGATGTACAACATACAGAGGCAGGGACGAATCTCTTTCTACATACAAAACATGGGAGAGGTCAGTACGTGAGGAGGGGAGGAGGCAGGGGAACACACTCCACTCCACTCCACACTTCACACAACCCCACATGCACACGCACATGCGCCGACAGATAGAGAGATAGAAGGAAGGAAGGCTTCAGCGGGAGTCGCACACACAGTTGCAACCAGATCGCCCACGATGCCAACACAAGTGCACATGCAGACCCACTTGCGGCACTGTGGCCTGTCTGTCTGTCTGTCTTTCTGCATGTGTGTGTGTGTGCAGGAGGCGGCGCAGACGGGCAGCGGGTCGGCGTTGTCGATTGATGACCACCTATGGTGTCAGTACCGCGAGCTCGGGGTGCTCATGTGGCGGGGATTCACACTCGAAGACGCACTCGACCAGTGCTTCAGGTAGTTACCGAGGGATATCTGGTCGAGGGTATATCATGTCAATGGACTGCATGCGTGTGTGTGTGTCCGTGCGTGTGAACATTAACTACATTTGTGGTCGGTGGTCCATCCATCCATCCAGCACCAAGGGGGATGAGGGCAAGGGTCGTCAGATGCCCATCTCATACACCAAGAAGGACATCAACCTGCAAACTATATCCACACCCCTCACCACACAGGTATATATGTATGTATCAACACAACACAACCAACGACGGACGGACGGACTGCCATCACTCCACACAAGGCACGCAGTTATGTGAATCTTCTGTGTGTGGGTGGCTCTATCTGCCGTGTGTACAGGTTCCCCATGCTGCTGGGAGCGGCTATGCGTTTAAGTTGGCTGGTGAGAAGAGATGTTCGGTCGCATACTTCGGGGAAGGTAAGGACCGAGGGGAGGGACCGCGATGGACCGCACTCGATGGATATCCCCCCGGCACGTGTTGGTCCGTCCGTCCGTCCGTCCGTCTTTTGATTCAGGTGCCGCCTCAGAGGGTGACTTCCATGCTGCCCTCAACTTCGCCTCGGTGCTCAAGTCGCAAACCATTTTCATCTGCAGGTCTGGCGGGGGAAGGGGACGGAAGGCGACAAACGAAATCTGGCTCCTCTGCGCACTGACCGGCATCCTGGGTTCGGTACGTGCATTGATTGCATGTGGTGTGCAGAAACAACGGCTATGCCATCAGTACGCCTGTGAAGGTGAGCATCTAGTACATACATACCACTGATACCTGCACAGACACATCCTACACATACATACATACATATCCGTATGTATGTGTCCCCGCCCACCGCCTGTGTGTGTCAGGATCAATACGCGGGCGACGGTATCGCCATCCGTGGCCTGGCCTACGGCATGCAGACATGCAGGTCGGTTGGTCCAGGGGGAACGGATGGCTAGGCAGCGTAGCCACACATTGGATGGCTGGGCTAGGTGAGATGTATGTGTGTATGTGTTGTGTTGTGTTGTGTTAGGATTGACGGCAACGACCTTGTGGCCGTGTACATCGCGACCAAGAAGGCCCGTGAGATCTGTGTCAACAACTCGGAGCCCGTGCTGCTCGAATTCATGACGTACCGGTAGGTTGCCGCACCGCATCCACCGGGTGGATATCTATGCACCATCCCATCCATATGGATGAATGAATGTGGGTCCGTGGATGGGATGTGGGTATGTATGTATGTCAGCATGGGGCACCATTCAACTTCGGACGATTCGGCTCAGTATCGCCCTGAGGGAGAGTTTGAGGCGTGGAACCAGCCAGGAATCAACCCAATCGGTACGTCACGTCCATCAAACTGGCTCGACTCGATTGCATTGCATCGCTGCCCTTGATATATTGTGGTTGGTCAACCAATCTCGATACACGTGCAGCTCGAGTGCGCAAGTTCCTGGTCAACGCCGGCATGTGGGACGCCGACCAAGACGCGGTCAGTCTGTCAGTCAGCTCAGTGCACCCCACCCCTTGATGTGCTGATGTTTCCTGGAGAGACAGACAGGCGAAGAGCAGGTCGATCGGTTTGCTGTTTCTGCTGTCGCTGTCCGGTTGTGGTGGTGCGTGCAGGAGTTGCGCCGGGAGGCCAAGAGCACCATGATTGCCGAAATGAAGAAGGGGGAGAAGAAGAAACGGGTAAGTGGGGCACGGGATAGACAGACAGACAGACGGACAAACAGACCGACACGCACGCGTTCATCATGCAATGCATGCATTGCCGGCTGGCTGCTACATGGATGTGTTCCCGCTGTGTACGAATCCAGTATCCGATCATCCCTGGTGTGTTTGATGACGTGTACGACCAACGCCCGTGGAATCTGGTACGCGTCTGCACTGCACTGCACTGCACTGCATCACACACAACAGCCGCTTACCGTTCCTCACTCTGTGTGCGTATGTATGCCTTGTGACCATCTGTCCGTCCGTCCCTCCCTGCCAGGAGGAGCAGGCCGAGTCGATGCAGGCTCATCTCGCCAAGTACCCCCAGCAGTATGACCAGACCCAGTACGAGAGCTCGGCCTAGCGCAACCCGCACACAGTCATTCACGCCGATTCCGATTTAGTGCGCGGTGCATGGATGGATGGATGGATCGAGACAGGGGGGGGAAGGAAGACATTATGCATTCACGTGTGTGTGAACGTGTGACGGGCTTCGTGCGTCTGAGTTCATGAGCCAGCCAATCAAGGGACGTGTTCGTTCCACCCACTAAATATGTATGTTCACACAAAGAGCCTCATGTCTCGTTGACGTGCCCATGATCGGTGCTGTCAGCATGCCATGCGCATATACATCATCCATCCATCAGGGGGATGCCTGAATGAATGCAGACAACCAAACCGCATCCATCAACCAACATGCAAGAAGCATGTCACACATTCTTTCATGCGTCTGGCACACCATCGTCTCTCTCGCCCGCCCACCGTCGGTACCCGAGTGGGAGTGCGAGGGAACATTGAGGCCTTCCGTACGTTGTCCAGACCCAGGAAGAGCGTTGCGATACGGTCGAGGCCCAGCCCTGCGCCGGCGTGAGGCGGACATCCATGCTCAAAGGACTTGATGTACGCCTGGATCGACGGGGAGTCCGTCGGCAGGCCACCACTGAGGCAGGCAGGCAGGCAGGGAGGCAGGGAGGGAGGGACGGAACGAGGAATGAAACACATACCATAAGCAGAACAGTCAACTGCCCTCCCGGCCTCATTCAAGCTGCCGACACCGATGAGACTGACCTGTCCATGGCTTGCTTGAGCTGTGCGGGATTGTTGATCCGCTGGGCACCTGCGGGTGGTCAGGACAGGACAAAAGAAGGACGCACACATTTCATGAACCGAGCCCGCCTGCCCCTGCCTGTGACTTTCCTCCCATCTTTTGTCTGTCACGTCCCTCTCCCTTTGTGTGTGTGAGTGCGTGTGCGTGTGGGCGAGGCTTCCCTTGGTACCTGAGGCTATCTCCTGGCCCCTGAGGAAGAGGTCATATGAGTTGGAGTAGTCGGCGTCAGTGTCCGAGGGCATCGTGTAGAAGGGCCGTAGGCTCCGGGGGTACTGGTCTACTGCAAACAGATCGGTGCCGTACTCATCGTGGACGATGCGGCCTAGTTTCTGCTCCTGCTCGTCACTGAGGTCATCGAAATCCGACATGGACTCGCCAGCCGACCTGACCACGAAACAGGAAAGGAACAGGACCAGCGTAAGGAACATCCCTCCCCTCCACAGCTGCCACTGAATGTGTGTGTGCACAGAATCGACCTGAGGAGTTGAAGCGCGTCTTTGTAGGTGAGTATGACAGGTTCGTCGGTCAGCAGCAAGGGCTCTGACGGATACTGCTCCCTCACCGTTGCCAGAAGGTCACCGAGACTGGCTTCGGCATCCTCAAACATCCTCTGAAGCACGCTGACGACTCACACACAGACACGCGGCAGGCAGCTACAAGAAGCAACAAGTCGTTGTTTGCGTACTTGTAGACAAGCAGGAGGGCCTCTTGGTATGTGTGAAGAATGGACATCTCCAAATCAAGGCCTGGAGAGACAGACAGACAGACAGACACACGGGCAAATTGGAACCATTCCAACCATCAAAGCACCCACATCATCACGAGTGAATTTGACGCACCCGTGAATTCACAGAGGTGCCGCCTCGATCTCGACTTCTCGGCCCTGAAGACGGGCCCGATCTCGAAGACTCTGTCGAGGTCGCTGCTTATGGCCATCTGCTTGTACAACTGAGGCGACTGGGCAAGGCACACCTGCTGGCCGAAATAGTCAGTCCGGAACACCTCTACAGAGCAGACGGGAAGCCCACATCAGACGCGCACCACGGAGGTGGGTAGGTGTGTGCATGTGTGTGCGTTGCTGCCTCGGCCATGGGATGCCAGGCCTACCTGCCCCTCCCTCCGACTGTCCTGGTACAAGCTTGGGGCTGAAGATCTCTACAAAGCCAGCCTGTCAGTAGGATTAGTACACTCGTCAGTCACCTGAGGACGGTCGTCTTGACGCTTGTTCTTCTTCTTCTTCACCTGGATGAGTTGCTGTCGGAAGGCACTGGCCATGTGAGCCTTGACTCTCATAATGGCCTGGTTAGCGGGTGTCCTGAGGTCCAGCCACCGGTGGTCCAGACGGAGGTCCTGACCAATCACAGGGATCGGACGCTCCGTCTCCTGCGATTCCATGACCTGATCAATCAATCCATTGTGGTCAAATAGGCAACTCGCCGATGATGGATGGATGTGTTCCATGGCTGCTTGCGCCATGCACCTACCTCTGCCGGCGATCGTGCAGCGTCCCGGACACTGAAGGGGAGCTGCTGTGTGCAGCTGGATACAAGATGCGCACTGAGGATCTGCAGCCAAGGAATCACACAGAGTCCATCGTCAGCAGCACATGCCTGCCTTCACTGCAGGACGATTAGAGGTACTCACGTGGATCTCGACGTTCTTCTGAGTGCATGAGCTTACTCTTGCAGGTTTCACCGTCCCCTGCACGAGAAGGAAAGATGAAGCGATACTGCGCGATGAGGGATGCACGCGAATGCGATCATATACGTCTGCGTCCCCTCACTCTGGTCGATCTCTCCGACCTCAGTCCCAGCGGGTGTCTGCCTACCTGTATGTCGATGATTGATTCCTCCGGAATGCTCTTGAGGAACTTGAGTAGCTCTTTAGATCTCTCGGGGTCTTCTGTGTCTTTGAAGAGGCATGCCTGCACTGTAGATCCTCCACTCTAACAGACACACCACATATGCACAAAGACAAGACGGTTCTTGTTGACAGAACGTCCCAGACGTGTCTGTACCTGCCGTAGGACAAGGAAGCAAGAGTTGCCTTTGCTTCTGAATGCATGGAGACGTCCCCTGACGTAGACTGATGACTCAGCCGCCACCTTGTCGATGTCCGGGACTCGCACATAAAGCTGGCTGTCCAACGAAGACCAGAGGGTGGTAGATCTGGGACTTGCTGCTGCCGAACGACGAAACGCGGGGGCAACGAACGCTCTGCTCAGCGGCAGCCAACACACAGACACTGCTGCACACACTGCTGCATATAGACACCGCTGCTGCATGAATTCAGCCCCGGCACTACTTGCGAGCTTGGTTTGCAGATCTCTGACAGGGAAGTTTTTTGCGCGAAGAAGCAGAGGAGAGCCTCCTCCATTCATTCCAAGATGGAGGCTGCTAGGCAATGCAGGGATGTTGGGACGCAGGTGCATGTGCCTCCACGCGAGGTACGGTGACTGACACAGCTGCGAGGACGCGTAGCACTTGTGACGAATTCATTCTACCTGCTTCCTCTTGTCACATTTCAGTATATCAGCCCTCAAGGTTCACGCTCTCGTCTGATGGAGATTCATGCACTCATTCTTCTGTTGTATGCATGCATGCAGTGTTGTTCTCGCAGCCTGACGATGCGTGGCCCGACTGGATTGAAAGGTAAAGGGTGAACCACACAGACGGGCCACACTGCCACGTTTGCATTCACTGACCCCTGTGCGTATAATGCAGACCGCACACGATCAGCTGGCTGATGCTTGCAATCAGCCTCATCTACACGGCTTCTACTTGCATGGAGGCCTCTGACCCACCACCAGATACAAGGAAGAACGTCACTGCGTACGCCTTACAACCCACCACTCGAAAAGGCACGCGACAGATAGGCGAAGGCTTGTCTTTCTCTCTCTGTTCAGGGGTCTGCTCGCCGGTATTGCCATGTTCCTCGTATTCGCGATGGTCCAATTGCCGGACGGTATCCTCATCCGGCCCCATCCCGTCATCTGGCGGGCGGTCAAAGGCGTCTCTATCCTCTACCTCTTTCTAGTGATCTTTCTCTTGTTCCAGGTATGCCATTTCACTGCATCGCTCCACCCGTGAACCTGGAACTGGGACGGTGCACACTGTGTGTCGGCGGGATGTGTGTGTGTGTGTGTGTGTGTGCGTGTGTGTTTGTGCATGTGCAGTCGCTTGACGATGTCCGTGTGGGGCTGAAGTTCGTCGATCCAAAACTCGGTTGGCACCCGAGCACTTACCCATGCAGGCAGTTTATCCACTTCCTGGTCCGCAGGCGTTCCTTTACCGGAGAAGAACTACGCGGAAGATTGCCGCCTTTACACTCCTGACAGCGCTCATTCTCGCTGGGCCAACCTGAAGGCAAGATCGACGGACGCCCAACGTGTCTGCAAGTGACAGCATGTTGTCTTCAGGAGCAGCTGGACGTCTTCGTCGTCGCACACCTGATCGGTTGGCAGGACCACACACACACACACGAGCGCACAATCACACATGGAATGCGAGTGTCTCCGTGTTTCCTCCCGTCCTCTTCCTCCTTTCTCCCTGTTGCGTCTCTTAAGGTTGGATGGTGAAGGCTTTGATCATACGCGACTGGTACCTGCTTTCTGCACTCTCTATCGCCTGGGAATGGACCGAAATCACTTTGAGACACGTGTTGCCCAACTTCTGGGAGTGCTGGGTAAGTAAGAAAGAGAGGTGTTCAGTTTGTTTTGGTGTGCATCGTATCGGTGGCTGTCCCCCTCATCGGTTACCCTAGTGGTGAGCCCTTACTTCCCTTATGCATGTGTGGGGCAATCCATGGTATTATCTCCAGGGACCACATCATTCTCGATGTGATAGGCTGCAATGCCGTCGGGATCTACTTGGGTCTGCGTTTATGTCGCTTCTTCAAGGTCAAAGTACGTGGGGACACAATGTCAAGAGCGGAAACTATCCGTCTCTGTTCGTATCCTTCCTGCCATTTCCGTTGCAAGGAATATAAATGGGTCATCCAGAGTCCGAAACGACGGCTTTTTGCGAAAGGGCTGCTGTCGCGTTTCCTCCCCTACGCCTGGTAAGACACTCTGCTGACGCTTTTCTGAAGTCTCCCACGATCGCACCTTGTGGCTCGACCATCAGGACTGATTATCACTGGCCGGGTTTCCTTTCCAATTTGGAAACCTTTTGGGGCCTCGTCCTGTATGGTTTTTGCGTGACTCTCGTGGATTTGAATGTGTTTTTGCTCAAGAACCTCCTGTGGCTGCAGCCACATCATTTCCTTATCGTCCTCAGGACAGCTTTGTTTGCTTCTGCATGTGGTAAGCATAAAGCCAGACAACCAGGTCAGCGAACGGCCAGCACCAATCTCTTTTCTCTTTTCAGCGTCAGCGACACGAGAGTTCTATGAGTATCTGACTGACAGGTGGAGGAAACGAAAAGGGCAGCATTAAGAGCCAACTCGAATATCTGTTTTCATTCAGGAACTGCACGCGATTGGGAATGCAGTGTTGGCTCACTATGGCCATGTTGTCCACGGAGCTGCTATTGGTGTGGAAGTGGAGAGGGGGTTTTGTCGTAGTTGAGTCGATGCCTTGGCCCATAGCTGTTGCGAATGGAGGCTTGTTGTTTGCTGCATGTATGGTCACGCTAAGACTCTCTGTGTTTCGCGCGTCTCATGAAAAGACTGGATAGACGATATTCACAATACATGGCGCAGAAGCACTTAATTGTCGACATCGCTACATGCACTCCTGCTCGGTAGGCCTAGCTACTTCTAGATCGAGTCTCGGTCTTGTTAGCGTCCTGGAGCCACGACAGTATGAGCGTCCTGAGATTGAGACGAAGCTCGGCCACCTGCAATAGCCACAGATTGTGCAGGACAGATGAGTTCCTTTGTCGTGTTCACGATTACCTTCGCATCCCTGCACTGCTCAACACAAATAAGGTCACATAGGGCAGGCAAGAGATCGTCCATGTGCTCCTGAAACTGGCTGCGATCAGCATCAGACAGACCAAGCAGGATCTGCTGTGCCACTATGGGCGTCAAGCCAGTAAGCTCCCTCTCCGTTTCCAACTGAAAAATATAGACAGCACATCGGTCAGGATTGAGCAGCTCGGTCACTCTCCTGCCTTTTGTAATGCTGCGGATGGTGAGAGAGATGTAATGGCCCGTGCTGCGTGAAGCATCTTGTCCATGGCGATGTAATCCCGCAGAACAGACCTTGACAAACAGAGAAAGGTGCGCTAAAACACATGTACCCAAAACCAGACATGGCACTTTTTGAACCTGATCAAGCTCGTGAGCTTTTCGACGATAAACGTTCGCAAAGGAGCAGCCGCAGTCGACCTGCACTTGGCAGCGCAGAACATGATCCTCAAGATGCTCTTCAACCCCTCCCGCTCCTGCTTTAGAAGTCCAGGAAGCTGCTTCAATTCCACCATGAAGCCCCGTTCCTTTAACTGCTGTCTCCACTGCACCTGAAGAGTCACCGGAAAGTGTCATGACAGTATAAAGATGATGTTGTGTACTATTTCTAGCGACCTTCCGATTGAATTGGCTTGCAAAGGAAAACGAGAAAAGAAGTGAGTCGAGCAACCGTAGCAGACACTCGCCAGGGAGACAGTCCACGTTGGGTATTGACACCTCCTGGACCAATGCAATGAGCTCAAGCTGAACGATCGAGCGGGTAACAACTTCCTGACAGTCAAAGCCCAACGGCGTCGACGATGTTTCCTGAACTGGAACAGACGAAGCCTCCTGTGCCTCGGGGGAAGGTAAATCTGGAGGCTTCCCTCTCCCAAAGCCTGCAAATGTTAGCAAGCTTCTCCTCTTCTCCGACGGTGCCGGCTTCTCTGTCGCTGGCGAATCAGGAGGCGTTGTCGGACCAGATGAAGGGGGAGGAGGGGGAGGGGGCGGCTTTGGGGGGCTCGGGCTGTGGCGAGGTGCCGAAGTATGCCCTCCTGACGGTAGAGCCTCGGAAGGCTCGCTTTGGCGACTCCTGCTCGTGGGAGGCTGACTTCGACAATCTTTGCTTGTTGTCTCAGTTCGAGTGCTGTCCTCCAGCGACGTTTTCTCGACGAACTCCTGAAACTCGGCTTGGAGAGATCCAGGCTCTTCAAACTCCTCCTCTGTTTCAAGCAGTTGCCGAGGAGTCGTTGCTCGGAACAGATCCTAAAAGAAGCGAAAAGGAGCGATTTGCATGTGACAATGCCATAGGCGCTCTCTTAAACCTGCAGATTTTTGCTGACATGAACCCAATGGGCTGCGTTGAATTTGGATCCAGACAGCCTCAGTAGCCGCCGGAATGCCTCGACACCAATCCGCGCGATGATTTCAGTCGGCTGTTCCGCGGAGGAAACCAGCAGAGTGAGTACGTCCCCAAACTCAAAGTTAATGGTCTCGAAATGCCGGTCAAACAAAACGATGACGTGCTGAAGGGCCGCAAAGCACGTTGATGTGGCGAATTGTTGGGGAGGATGATGCAGAAACGGCTGCAAAGAAGGCTTCTCTTTTCCTTCGGCATCGGGTGTACTCGCCGGCTGGCTGACCAGGGTCCCGGCTTGTTGACCGGCTTCGACGTCCTTGGTAACAGTTGATGATGAGTCTGCCCTCGTGGGCCAGGTGGCGCCAAGCTGGACTCGTAAGAACTCGCCCCCGTGATGGATGTCGTCCATGAGTGGAAAGAGTATACCTGAAGACAAGAAAAAGAGGAATTAAAAATAAAAGGGAGCGACGGCTGCCTTGGTACCTCTGAAAGCCATCTGCCATGTGTCCTGGCCAAAAAAACGACTGCCGTGGCGATCCAGGACGTCAAACAACACGTCTAGAGCGAATCGTCGAACCCTTGTTCTCTTGTCGCTGAACGAGGACATGACATCACTTGGTACAAATCTAAAGGCTACATACCTGACTAAAGACGATAAAGACGAGAGAAGCGGAAACCAATAGAGACTAACGGCGTCCTCCACTGCCTTTTCCGCCTTGATTTGACTGCCTAGCTTGTCAGCGACACTCTTCATCAACTCAATCGCCTGACGACATGCAGCATGCAACCAAAGGAGCAGAATTTGTAACCATCTCTTCTCTCTTTCCCACCCTGATCGCCACTTCAGAATCTGCGCTGCAGGCAAACGACGTAAGGACTTTCACCGTCTCCGAGAAGTTCTCGATCAGCGTCTCAGTGTTCGAGTTAATGGCTTCAACGACAGTAAGAGACTGCTGCACTAGATTTGGATTCTTTTCATGCGCAGCCGAGTTTAAAATCCGAAGGATGAGCATCCAGCCGCTCTTGATGTTCCTCGCCCGCATCTGTGAGCCAAGAGAAGACGTAAACCAAGCTTTCTCCGGGGATGGCGGCTCACCATAACCATGTTGGACATGATCTGCACGATGAGCTCCTTGATCTCACTGCTGGTTTGGCTGTTACTCATCACCATCTGCAGGAATGGAATACGGCATTAGTAATTGCCATTTAAAGCATGGAGTGCGCTGCAGACCTCGAATGGACGAAGGAATTCCACTTGAAAGTGGTAATTACTGAAGAACAGGACAAAGCGCAAGGCACGAAACAAGTTTGGCGTATCGGTTCCCTCTTTTTTTGCAGACCTCAGCTCGTCCTTCTCCAAAAATTTCCATGCCAGCTGCCTCAGTGAATCGATGACATACATGCACACTTGGCGGTTGTGATGCATGGCAACCTGTGCATACCCGAAAGCGAATCAAGCGCAACATCCAGTCGCAACCGTACTGCCTTTTCAGCAAACCTCTGCAAAATGCACTCGGAGCACTGTCCAGATGCGGTTCCATACCCATCTGGTGTGACACCAAGCAGGTGTAAGACATAAGATTAGTAAGTTCTCGATTCCGGAATCGAGCACGTACCGTATTCTATTCATGTTCCCGCTGGCCACTTCCACGAGTTTTTGTAGAGCGAAAATGCGAGGCTGCTCGTTTGAGAGCTCTTCGATTGATACTGCGCAAAGCTGAGTGACGAACTGGACGATCTCGCCCGACGATAGAAGGACTGATCTGCTGAAGAGCCGTTCGATGGCGGATGTATCGATCTGCGAGTACATTTACAAGACAATGATTGTCGGCGCATCTTCGTGTCCATGATTTCCGCACCTGTGCCATCACGTTTTCCGCGTTCATTTGCTCAACGGCCTGTGCATCATCGCCGGTGAATAGAATGTTGTACGACGCAGCTGAATCCAGAAAAAGACACTCTAGAGTGGCAAAATGTTAAGATGAGCTCTCTCCACCTGTCGTGTTGCTGGTGTGGCCTTGGTGCAGCTGATGGGTGAAGCGCGACGGGATCTGGGCTTGGGAGTGGCTGCCAGCGCTGGTCGGGCTCTGGGAAGAGAAGAAGAGGAAATCCTCCTTTCCCTTTTTCTGCTGAAGCCGTTCCAGTTGACTGATGCACTGCAGCAGGGGCAGCCACGAGTGCCCTAGGTTGTTGCCATCGGCCAGACCAATGGACAACAGGGTCTTGATGCACTCAATGTTCTTCCCCTTGATCTCCTTTAATGTTGTGAGATATGTGAACTTCGCCAAGGAGCTTACGAAAGACTCCAATTCGACAGGCATGTCGAACCTGAAAAGCCAACAAAGGCAACTATAGTCCATTTCACATAACATGTTGCTGCGAAGGCCACCTCGAGGCGATTCTGACGCAGTGTTTGAAGCCTTCCAGACATCCTTCGACAGTCAAGGAGTCGTCCTGCGTCTCTAGCAGCACGCTGAATGTCGCTAACAGTGGCCAACACGCCACCTCGAAGAGAAACCTGACATACTCGACCGTTTCCGCAGTGGCAACGATGTACGGCGACTCCCTAAGAGGCAGCGACAGCGGTAAACGGGTGCATCGCGTACACTTCTTTCTCTACGGCGTACTTCTTTTTTTCCTTCTTCTTGATCAGTTCTGTCGATCGCGTGACGATTCCTCGTGTCTGATCAGATAGACCGGCAGACAGACAACACGTACATATCTCCCTTTCTTCTTACTTCTCTAAGGAACAACTCAAATTTCTTGCGGCCAGCAGCTGTCATGGATTCCATCCGGGCCTTCGCGCCTTGGTCTTCCGGCAATAGCCACTCCTCAGACACGACACGATCGTATAGCGTCTCCAGGTACTCCTTAGGGAGATCTTGCGAGTCGTTAATGCCTCGGTTGTTGCTACGCGGACATACAGATGCGCATCGAGCAATTTGTTGGTGCGAGTGACCTCCAAATTCTGCACTAACCGAATGAAATCTTCCTGCAAGAACACACGCACAGCACCCTACTGACAAGTCTTAGTCAAGGCATGCACGCATCAGTCGCAGACCTTGGTCATTTTGTTCTCGGGCCGTATCTGCGAACTGTGTGCGTCCGTGTGCAACATGATCAGAGAGAACGAGAGCACGTAACACGAGTCGGCGTTCGCGAATATTTTGTCCGGGTTATCTCGAATGTACTTCTCTGCAATGTAAGACCACAACTGCGGAACGTTTTGCGAATGACTGTGCCGCCTCACCTGCGAACTTCTCCATCATCCTGTCGATTTTCTGCGCCTCACCAGGCAACCGGAAGCTGGATATAAAGCGGCGAAGAGCCAGGTCAAGCTCGAGGCCCTAAAGTTGTTGACGAATAAAGATCGATGAGCCATTCTGGCTGGAAGAACCTCACCGCAAAGTCTTGAAGGTCTATGCAGAGCGGCAAGGGAGCTGTGTCTTTCAAAAGCTTCTTTCGATT